CCACCCCCGTATAGAGACAGCGTATCCGAACTTCGAGATCCCTAATATTTGTCAGCAGCCGCCCTAGGGCGGCCGCCGATTTCTCTGTTCGGGGGGTCAAGCAACCGAAGTGCTCTTCGAAGCACCAGCGACTGTCGAGGTTTAGTCCGAGATACTTCATCTCGCCCCTCACCTCGACAGAGGCACCACCCACCTGGATTCGGCGTGAAGGCGGCAGCCGGCCTGAAGGCAATGCGTGTAACCACATTGCCTTGGTCTTGCCGGCCACAACCTCTAGCTCCAATCTCCGTGTCCCACCGACAACGCAACCCACCGGGGCTATTGCCAGACTCATGGTCTTCCTCCATGTTTCTCCCTCCCTGTATAGCAGGTGACCGTGACACTGAGGGGGAGAGGAGCCCGCAACACCACGTCGTACGCAAGGTCCCATAGAAGCGGTCCAAGGACCGACCCCTGCGGGACACTGCGGTGCTACTTCTCCCGCCGCATACGATTGTACTGGCCCGGATACTCGAACCACCTGTCCGACAAGTAGTCCCTTAACGTCACGCGGAGGTAGGGGGGCAACCGAAAGAACTCCAGAGCCCCTGCCACCTCATCCCAGGGTAGAGTGTTGAATGCGTTGGTAATGTCAAGAATCACCGCCAACAACACCAGACCCCGGGCGACGGATGCAGCCCGGAGGGAGGCAAGACGGCCGATCGCATCGACCGTCGAGCGTCCCATCCGAAAGCCATACTGGTCGTCGTTTAGTAAGGGACCATCACGGGACAGGTGCTCAACGATGCGGTCCGCAAGGATCTTCTCAAAGATTTTTGCTGCCTCGTCGAGGAGACATAAGGGCCGGTACGCGGAGGGGAAGTCGACGGCCTTTCATCCTTTTGGAGGAGGACCAACCTGGCTCCCTTCCATTCCCTGGGGAAGGTCCCCCGGCTCAGACAGGTGTTTAGAACCTGTATTAGAGCCGGGTCAAGGACGTCCAACACCAAGACCAGAATCGGCCCGGGAGTCCCATCGGGATCGGGGGCTTTCCTGCCCCCCTCCCGGATTCGCCGGACAGCCCGGGATAACTCCTGCATCGTGACCTTGAGTTCGTCGGTCCAGTTAAACCGGACCTGGCGTGGCAGGTGTCTACTACCACTTCCACCACTGGGGGGGGGGGGGGGGCAATTGCAGCTGTAACCCGCCCCAGGAACTCAGGGTCCAACGTCTCCGTCACGGGGGGCGCCCACTGGCGGAGCTTACCCAGCACCGCCTTGTACGGGCGCCCCCACGGGTCCCTATCGAGGGAACCCAGGAGCTCATCCCAGGCCTTGGCCTTGGCAGCGGCTATCTCACGCTGGAGAGACATCCGAGCCGCTCTATACTCCAGGTACAGAGCGACTGCCCTCGCCTTGGCGTAGCTCCCCCTCGGGAGGCGGCGCCGAGCACGAGTGTACCGGCGTCGGGCGATAACACAAGCGTTCTTCATGGTTGCTATCTCGCCAGACCACCAGTACACGGACCTCTTCTGGTGGCGTCGCAAATAGACTCCACGACACCCCGGAACCAATCCACCCCCTCGTCTGGTCCGCGCTCCCTGACTTCCGGTCAGGAATAGGCGAGAGCCACGGCTCTCAGGACGTCTTTGTCTAGTCGCTTCAGCACCCATCTCTTTGGCGTTGAAGGGATGCCACTTGCCCGTAGGGGCATGTCCACCGACGAGGTGACATCCACCTCCATCGTAGTATCCAGTGCAAAACACCGCCGCTCTAAGGGCCGCCTGCTTTCGCCTGATAGGTAACAGCTTGGGGTCCAGCAGGGATCCAAGCTGCTCCATCGGGCTAGGAGGAAGATGATCCACCTGGTACGGCGGTGGCATAACCCCCTCTCTACGAGCGGTGCGTCGAGCATCGGAGGGAGGCGGTGGAGGGAAGAGTTGCGGTTTCACCGCAGCTCTTTTCATAGCCATCATCTCCCCCGGATGGCTTTATTTGTGTACTTCAGCTCTTCCAGCTCTCTCCGAAGTGCCTCGTTCTCCTCGTGGAGGCGGAGTTCACCGAAAGAAGTATTGGGGGCAGTAGTATAGCTAGGCCGGTTCTAAACCATGGGGCCATGAGGGGGGAGCGGGGGAGGGGGGAACAATGGGCGTAGGAGATGCGGGAAGGGGGAACCGAGAGCGAGGCGGCGAGGGAGGGGGCACGAGTGGTGGGGGGTCGGTAATTATTACCTACGGTCAGTAAGGTAGGATGCAATTATTACCTACGGTCGTTATGGTAGAGGGGGGACTCCACCGGTCAGTAATTATTAGAGATCGGTAAAGAAGAAAAACGCAAATTTTACATGTAACGAAATAAGCGCGTAAGGGAGGGGGAAACCATCCTCTTCGTCTTCGCGGGAGGTAAGCGCACACGCCGTAAGGGTGGGGGAAACCGTCCCCATCGCGCGCAGTAGTGGGGGCGTCGTTGCGGGCCTCGCGGGTTCCCTCTCTCGCCCCCGAGTATTTTCTTCCTCGCACTCATGCCCCGTGCAAAATATAATATTTCATTACAATCTTTGATGCAGCCATCGGTAGGAAATCTTTTATTTGCGCGATACAATTTTTCAAGGACTAGATATTAAAGAAACGGTAGAGGTGACATCATTCTTTTGATGATGAGAATACTGGAGAACGTGCGAAGGAAACATTCCACCGGATGAGAATATGAGATGGGAGGAAATGCGCTAGAAAGAAAAACACATATATCCAAGCTATTTCTTTTTTATTGATAACTGTATTCCAGCATTACATCTAAACCTAATGCTAACAATTTAGAGTCAATCAATGAATGACGCTCAAAATTTTCATGTTCAACAATTACCTTTGCATAATCCTTAATTTCAGCATTTTGTATAATTTCTATAATCTTGTACTTAGATTCTACCAGGTACAAGTTTTTAGACAGCCAACTAAACATGTGATCGATACAATATTCGAAACCGAACAACTTTTGTACGGTTTTTTCACTCATGAACATAGAGACGGTAGAATTTGTGAGTTTTGCGAGTTTTACGTCGTTTAGTTGTCGGAATTTAACTGTTACATCATTAATGCTTATCGACTCGCCCGAAGTTTCCGATGTATCAGCAAAAATATGCAAAATGTTTGCCTCTTTCGTAGGAGATCTTTCCACGTATCCATAAAAAATTTAATTTCGTTTCCACGAGAGTCTCTTATAGCCAACTCTACGTCGCAGGAACCACCGATTCGAACCCCGATGTCGAGATACTTGTAGAATGTATCCGTCAGGGGATATCTCCTCCCCAGTATGCGCACCACAGGGAGCGTGAAGGCTGGAAGGGACTCGTCTGGGCATCGCCAGATCGAGAACCCCGATGGATCTGATGTTCTACCAATATCCGTTCGAGGTTGCTCGGACAGTGAGGGGAACTTCGGAGAAGTTGGGGGCCCGACTGGCCCAAGTTCACTCATCGCACCTCCACGCGGTGCTCCTGGGCCTCCGCATCAGTAGTCGAGACTCGCTTGCGAGGACCGATTTGCTGAATGCGGAGGGCGAACGCGATGAGTTGGCAAGGTGAGGAGTGGTCATTCCCGCGCGGTGGCCCACTGGGAGTGCTCCCCCCTGTGCGCTGTCTTTGCTTCTGCTGGCCTCAGGAGGGGGGGGGGGGGGGGCTGATGTGTGCTTGCACTGCCGAAGTGGTAGTGCAGCGCGGAATCAGACGCCGGCCCATTCGGGACTTCGACCAAGTAGTTCGCGGTGAGGTGCAGGTGTCGGAGCCTGCACCTGTTACGGGCAGGTGCCCCCCTGTGCGGTATTCCCGGGGGGGTTAAATGCGAAGGACGAGCCCCGGGGAACTGGGGTAGGGGAGCATGTCTTTCGTTAGGCATGTCCCCCGAGGGTACACCCGTTCCCGTCCAGCAGCCTGCCCCGCCGCGCACGATGCGCCGGTAAACCTTAAATCATGGAAAATTTATTTAAAACCGTAGGAAGCAGTGGAGCCGGATCGGCCGGCGAGAGCAGGGGTGGAGTTACTTTGGCTTGGGAAGTCGAGGTGAGTCGACTGGTGGTGGTGGTAGTGGAGAAGGAGCGGAGGGGCAGAGCCTCCGAATCGAGGGTCCTGGGTCCGGGGCAGTTGCGGCAGCCGACACTGCAATGGAGGCTAGTCAGCGAACCCGTGCTGCCGGCTCCTCGCGAGAGGAGGGCCCTCCATGGCCGCGGGTCGTCCTCCACCAGATCGGGGGGAGTCCTCGCGAGGAAGACATGCGGTCGGTAGGCTCGAGGGTGTTGAGCCTCCGGTCGGCGAAGCACGGGATTCCGGCGGTTGATGCGGACGACGCTGACGCCTCTACCGCTCGACCGGACGGGGCGAAAAGGTCCCGCTACCGACACCCGGCCCCTACGGTGGCTATGCGCCGTGAGGCGTTGAGGGGTCCCCTGCAGGGGAGCTGCTGGCCGCTGTGCTTGACGCGAGTCGCGTGGTGGAGGCCACCGCGGCGAGTAGCTCCAACCTAAAGGGCACGGCCATCCGTGCCTTCAAGGACGCGGCCAGGGAGCTGGAGGCGAGGAAAATGCCTCATAGCCCCTGCGATTCTCTCCTCTCGGCGGCGCAGGAACCCACTGGAGAGATGGAGGCTCTCCGGGCGAAGAACGGAGCTCTCTGACGGGAGATCCGGGAACAAAAGGAGTCCCTGAATGCTCTCCGAGGAGAGTTGTTAGCTATAAAGCGCCGGTGGGATGCACCCTCTGCCGGGGGAGCGGGCGCTCTGATGGGCCAGATTGGGGCGCTTATTAATGCGGAATTCGCGGCGATACGCGGGGAGCTCCGACTGGGTCGGCGGTGCCGACGACAGGGGTTCCTCGGGGCGTGGCGATTCCTTCTCCCCCCGTTGGAGGGGGGAAGAGGAGGAAGAAAAAGAAGAAAAAGGCTCCTCTTCTTCTTCCTACCCTTGCTCCTCCGCCGCCGCTTGTGCCTCCTCCACCGAGGGAACCACCTGTGGCTCCGGCCGTGCCTGGGGAAGCATGGACTCAGGTCCTTGGCCGGAAATTCAGAAGGAAGGGAAGTGCCGCGGTAGCCACTCCCCCGGCCGCAACGAAGGCGGCTGGGAGAGCTTCGACGGGGAGGACCCAGAAGAGCGGGCCTCTTCGCGTAGCGCCTCCTCCGCAACGGCGACGGTGACGATCACCGTTCCGAAGGGGAGCAGCGCGACATACGAGGAGGCCGTGCGCGTGACTCGCCGGGGCATTGACCTGGCGGCGCTAGGTATTGAGGCCCTCTCGTGGAAGACGGCTGTGACCGGGGGCCTGATCACTAAGATTCCTGGTGCTGAGAGTGCCGCCAGGGCCGATGCCCTTGTGAACCAAATGAAGACGGTGCTGGGGGGGATGAACGTGATGGTGTCCAGACCCGTCAAGAAAGCGGAATTCCGCCTGACGGGACTGGACATCTCCGGCACCCCCCAGGAGGTAGCGCTGGCGGTGGCAGCCATCGGGAAATGTTTCCCGGATTCCGTAAGGGTGGGTTCTTTTAAGATCCCCCCCCCCCCCTCCGGAATGGGAACTATATGGGTGCAATGCCCGGCCGCGGTGGCTGTCGCCGTTCAGAAGGCGGGCACAATAAGGGTAGGGTGGTCCGCAGCCCGGGTGGTGATGCTGGCCGCGAGACCGCTTCAGTGCTACCGCTGCCTTGCCGTAGGGCACGTTCGGCAGCGGTGCACTGCGACCGTTGATAGGAGCGGCCAGTGTTACCGTTGTGGGGACCCCACCCACAAAGCGGCTAATTGTTCGAGGGCCTCTAATTGCGTGGTTTGCGCTTCGCTTGGGAGGCTTTCGAACCATAAGACGGGGAGCACACCTTGCTCCCCGCCGCCCCAAAAAGAAAGGTCCTGTGAAGGCGGGGGGTGTGGCCCCGCCCCTTAAGCCTAAAGAGAGGGTAGGTGGGGCGGCTGTATCGGCCCTGCCAGCCCTCATTCCGGTTGTAATGGAGGTAGAGGCCTGCCCGACTGTAATACCGGGACAGGCCTTAGAGGGGGTACTTGAGTAGGCGCATTCACGTCTGCCAAGTCTCCCCTTATGTTACTGCAGGCCAACCTTAACAACTGCCGCCGGGCGCGGGATCTTTTCGTCCAATGCCTGGCGGAGTGGCAGGTTGGCCTAGCGGTGGCCGCGGAGCCCTATCGAGTCCCTGAACATCCACACTGGTTCGGGGACGAGGCGGGCTCCGTGGCGATGTGGTGCCGAGTGGGTCGCGGTGTGCCCCCCTGTTAAGATGGGGAAGGTTTTTGGTTGTTGGGTGCTACTGTTCACCAAACAGTGGCTCCGCCGAATTCGAGAGGTATTTGGACCGGCTGGGTGGTATGATGGCCCCGCATTTAGCTGGTCTGGTGCTGGTTCTGGGCGATCTCTACGCCCGATCTACGGATTGGGGGAACCTCAGAACCGGACCTCGCGGCGGAGCCCTAGAATCTTTGCTGGAGGGGCACGGACTACTGGTGTTGAACCGGGGGTCCGTCCCAACATGCGTGAGGTGGAACGGGTGGTCAATCGTGGATATAATGTTGGCCACCCCGGCCGCATCGCGCCGGGTGTCTAATTGGCGGGTGTGGGGAGGGGAAAACCTCTCCGATCACTGCTATATCCTGATGAATGTGGCGGTGGTCTCAGAACCGCCATTGGACACGCCCCTCCGTAGTGGCACCCGTCCAGCGCCCAGATGGGCGCTGAAACGACTCGACAAGGACCTATTGAGGCTCGTTATTATCGGTACTGCCTGGCCAAGGGCCACGGAGTGCGGAGCGGAAGAGGGGGCCGAATGGATCCGGAGCACGTTGCAAATGATTTGCGATGTGGCGATGCCCCGGATTCGGGATCGTCCCCAGAAAAGAAGTGTGTACTGGTAGTTGGGCGAGTTGACCTGTACGAGGCATACAGGTCGGCGGCTGAGGCCCTCAAGCGGGGTATTGCCTCGGCCAAGGCTGTAGCCTGGGATGCTCTCCTGTCAACCGTGACGAAGGATCCGTCGGGGCGCCTTTATAAGCTCATGCTAAATAAACTTCGACCTTGGGCGCCCCCTATAACGAAGCAGCTGGATCCAGAGCTCTTGGGACGTGTCGTCTTTACGTCATTCCCTCCCGATGATTCGGGGTGGGCGGAGACGACACGTCCACCGGCTCCGACCGTTGAATGGTCGGAGGAGCTCTGGGTCAGCCACGGATAGCTATTCCTGGCCATCCGGGCGCGCCAGGACAAAGGCGCCAAAGCGCCTGGTCCAGATGAAGTGCCTGGAAAAATTATGGCCTTGGCCGTGGGCGAGGTCCTCGCCCCGGCGTACATGGAGGTGCTAAATGCCCACATGTCCCGGGGAACCTTCCCCAAGGTATGGAAAAAGGCGAGTCTGGTCCTCCTCCGTAAGAAGGGTAAGCCCGTAGAGTCTCCTTCTGCGTACCGGCCGGTATGTCTCCTCAATGAGGCGGGTAAGTTGTTCGAAAGAATAATTGCCGCCCGCCTCATTGAGCACCTGTCCCAGGGTGGTCCTGATCTCAGCGACGGCCAGTTTGGATTCCGGAGGGGGCGCTCTACAATAGATGGCCTTGAGCGTCTGCGCCTCCTCCGCAAAAGAGCCGTCGCTACGGGCAGGGTGTTGACTGTCGTTGGATATTTCTAACACTTTCAACGCCCTGCCCTGGAGGAAGATAGTAGGGGCGCTCGAATATTTCGAGGTGCCCCTCTATCTCCGCGAGGTGATTCGGGACTACCTTTGCGACAGGGAGGTCCAGTTCACTGGCCGGTCGGGTAATCGGATGAGAAGGGAGATACACCGCGGGGTCCCGCAGGGCTCGGACCTTGGACCGCTACTGTGGGACCTTTTTTTTTTTTTCTTTTTAACGTGAGGAAATGCGTTCACGCACTCCCCCTCATAAGGAGGGGGTACGTCTCCCCTTGATTTAATATCAAGGGGAATACCCACTAAAACCTCACGGTGGCCGGCCACGGCGCATTGGGGAGGGGCACCGGGATCTCTTACGAACGCTACGGGTGCCCCCCGCGCCTCTCCCCCGCAACAAAGGGAGGAGCGCCATCTCCGGTGGGGAGTAAATACCCCCCACCTGACCGCGGGTGCTACAACCGCCGGTCTCGCCTGTCCCTTTTAGTCGCCTCTTACGACAAGCAGGGATTACTATGGGCGTATTCTGTTCCCCGACCCACAGGGAAATATGCCACTATGGGGCAAACGGCCCCCCGCGGCGCAAGCGCCGAGCATGTTCCAAAGGAGTGGGGGGGGCGTTGGGTGACGACCCCCCCCCATGCCCGGCGGCCCTGCTGGCAGTCGGCGAGCCCAAAGCTTGAGCTCGCCGGCTACGTGTGCAGGGCCGCCCTACGCGGCAGACTGCCAGGAGGAGGTGAGAGTTTATGGGGGGGGGGGGGGCAGTCCCCCCTGCGGCAGGGGCGGCAGCTAGCCGCCGTCGCCTGGCCCGCCTCAACCTCCTCCTCTCTATGCGAGCGGGATCGGTGCGCTCCCGCTCGTCATCCTCCTTCCGCGAAACAGTAGTCTCGCAGAAGGAGGACACCGCGTTCTAGGACCTCTCGCTCTCGACCATGGCCGAAACGACGGCCGGGAGCGAGAGGTCCACTCCAATATCTAGGCGAAGTGCCCGCCTCTCTCGCGAGAAGGCTGGAGGAGTCCAGCTCCGCGCCGCACTGGTGGCACGCGGGCGACCCCTTCGCCACCACCTTGCGCAGGTACTCGCCGAAACAACCATGTCCGGTGAGCACCTGCGTGAGCCGGTAGGTGAGTCGCCCGTGTAGACGGTCCAGCCAAGCATCGAAGCTCGGCAGGACCGCCGCTACCGTCCTCTTTCGGGCGGAGCCGCTCTCCAGGAGCTGGCGCCGCCACTTTTCGCGGGCCAGCTGCCACCTTTGGCGTCGGTAGGCTTTGACCGCTTCGTCCTGCGGATCGCCCCCGTTCCGGCGGAGATCTTGCACACGCCGATACACGTCGGCGTGTGCCTCCGCCAGGAAATCAAAGGGGACGACCCTCGCGAGGGCGGCCGCCGCCTCGTGAAAGATCGTGCGATACCCGAGCGCGATCCTGATGGCCATATGCCGCTGCACGCGGCGCAGCAGGTACCGTCCATGACGGCAAGCCACCAGGTCGCGCGCCCATACGGGTGACCCGTATAGGGCCATGGATCGCACGACCCCCAGGTAGAGGCGGCGGACCCCTTCTTCCGGCCCCCCGAAATTGGGCAGGAGACGACCCAACAGAGTCGTCACCGCCTCAAATCGGGGGATCAGGCGGTCAAAATGCCCCTCCCAGCGCCACCGGCTGTCCAGGTCAAGGCCCAGATACTTCATCCGGCCTTCGACCCGGACAGTTGCATCACCCACGCGGATCCAGGTCTGGGGGACCCGCTGCGTCAGAGGTAGTCCATGAAACATGACTACCTCCGTCTTTTGCGGCGAGATCCGAAGCCCCAGAGCCTGGATCCTCGCGACCACGATCGCGGCCGCTAGTTCCGCCAGCTTGTGGACCCTGGTCCCATCCCGACCCACCGCGATGATCAATGTGTCGTCTGCGTAGCAGACCACAAAGACACCGGGTGGGAGGAGCCCGCGCAACACCGAGTCGTACCCCAAGTTCCATAACAGAGGTCCTAAAACGGACCCCTGGGGCACGTCTCGGCTGACCCTCCGACGTATCGGCACCCCGCCTCTGCCAGGGTACTCGATCCACCTGTCCGACAGGTAGTCGGTTAACACGACCCGTAAATATGGAGGCACTCCGTGTTCTCGGAGCGCCTCCCAGATCGTGCCCCAGGCCAGGGTGTTAAATGCGTTGGCGATGTCGAGACTAATCGCCAACGCCACCCCACCCCGGGAGACCGCCCGGTGCGCGAGGGCATGGACGTGGTCGATCGCGTCAAGCGTCGACCGGCCCTCGCGGAAAACGTATTGGCAGTCAGCATACTGCATACTCCCGTCGGACAGGCCCCCCGACAGGCGGGCAGCGAGCACACGCTGGAAGAGCTTGCCCGCTTCGTCGAGGAGGCAGATCGGCCGATACGCGGAGAGCGAATTCGCGGGCTTTCTCTTTTTCGGGATAAGGACCATCCTGGCCTGCTTCCAGGACAGCGGAACCCGTCCCGACTCTTGGCAGCCGTCGAACAGCCGCCTGAGCCGGGGACCCAGGACGCGCAGCGCCAAAGCGAGCGCCCGCCCAGGGATGCCGTCGGGCTCTGGTGCCGTATTCCTGGCCACCATTCGCCCGACGGCCATCTCGAGCTCCCCCTCGGTGACCCGCAGGCCGGCGGACCCTCCTCCGGATCTACCGGAAAGAGGGTATCCACGACACGCTCCAGAACGAGGGGGTCGAAGGACTCAGTGACAGGGGGGGCGGCCGGGCGCATGCGGCCCAGCACAATGCGGTAGGGCCGCCCCCATGGATCCTTGTCCAGAGTCCCGAGGAGCTCTCCCCAGGCGCTCGCCGTGGCCCTCCTGATGGCGCGCTGGAGGTCCACCGTGACCTCTCGGTAGATATCATACATCCGCCGCCTCCCTGGCGGGGTCGCATTTCCGTCTCCGGCGGGCCCTTGTGAAGCGACGTCGCGCCGCGCTGCATGTAGCACGCAATGCGGCAATCTCGTCGCTCCACCAGTAAGCGGCCCGCCTCGGGAGCTTCTTGGCTCGAGGCATGGCGGCGTCGCCGCCGTCAATGACTCCCGAAACCATTCAGCTTCCCGATCGACATCCGCGACCGGTCCAGCCGGGGCATCCGGCCTGGACGCGGCGAGGGCGGCCGCCATCAGAGCGTCCTTTTCCAAGCGCTTCAGCGCCCATATGCGCGGCGGTCGGCCCGGCGCGGGTCCGCGAGCGGGATGGTACTGAGGAGCAGCGGAGACATCCATAAGGATGTAGAGATGGTCACTAAGGGACTCCACCTCCTCCGCTACCCCCCATCCCGACACGAGACGCGATGCGGCAGGCGTCGCCCACGACAAGTCGACGATCGACTTGCCCTGCCACCGCACGCACGTGCTCACGGACCCCCAGTTAAGCAGCCGTAAATCCGCGCTCGCTGACCACTCCAGCACCGTCCGACCCCTCGTGTCCGTTGTCAGGCCACCCCACGCCGTGGACTTGGCGTTGAAGTCGCCCAGCACGAGCGTTCGGGCTACTGGAGAGCGGGACAATGCGTCCCGGACCCCGTCCAGCAGCCACCCGAACGCCGCAAGGGGGGCACTCGATCATTGCCATCTAACCGGTCGGTACAGAGGCCCCGCGCTCTCCA